TTTGCTAAAAGAGATTTGTAGTCCGCTCTGATACCATGAATAATTGAATGGAGGAATTTTTCATGTATTTTCGTTCATGCTTACAATATAGAAAGAGGCAAAACATATATATAGGGGCACAAAACGAGATCCTGAAATCAAGCCTATAAACAAGGGAATGCAACAAATAAATAAATAATCAAGGAGTCTGAAAAGGAATGGATCGTGAATGAAAACATTCCAACAGATTCTCTATATATTCGGAAATCGTGTTTTACACTCTACAGTTTGAAAAATCCAAAGTTTCTAGAAGACAAATTTAGTGAGTGAAGGCACAACGACTTTATCATGCCACACAAGTGCACTCGTGTGGCATGATAAATACGTCATTGCGCTGGATCGTTATAACTAATGAATTGCTATTTGTCTCCATTGTAAAGCAATGGCAAAATAAGTAATCTTGTCGGTGTGGACAAAAGTTTGTCATACTGAATAGATCATTTGAATGAAACTAAATAATCATTTTACCTTATGTTCTAAAAAAACAAATTTCATATATCTATTTTGACAACCTTCATAACTTTTAGCACGAGAGGATTTGGGATGAAAATAGAAGAAATAAATTAGGCAAAAGATTAGTATCTTAACACATTAAGCTAGATTTTTTTGCTTAACCCATTAAGTTATTATATACAAAGTAAGTAAAAAGAAACAACCATATATAAATATCGAGATTAAATGCTTAACACATTAAGTTTTGTAACATCCCAAAAAGCGAGGGTAAAATTTTCATTTTTAATATATATAGATTCAACATCCATTTACATTTATCCAACATTAAGGTATTCCAAATTAAAACAATTATTAGAGTAATTCCCAAAATCATAAGCTACGGAAAAACATAGATGTGTGCGCTGTGATAGAGCCGGGCTCTTCCCTTTCGAACTGGAAGTACCTGAAACCATAAACCACAAACTGTAAGCACAAAGCTTAGTGATTTCCCCAAAATACCACATACCATGAGCCAAACATATCAGACATATCCAATCAATCAATAAAAGTGCAATTTGCCAACCATAGTCTTGCCATTATGCCACGAGCCGCCTTGTGGTCTTCCTTGCCAGGCTGGGGGCCACAACCCTGGGTCTTACAGACAAGTGCCAGGAGCCACCTCCGGGTCTTCCATGCAAGCATCACAAAGACAACTAACATACAATCTACACCACTTAACTAATTAACTGCCAGAGTTCAGACTCTGGTCTTGCATACAGTTTGCCAGGAGCCACCTCCTGGTCTTTCATACAAACTGCCAAGGGTTACCCCCGGGTCTTCCTACAATACATAAACCAAATAGGCCGGCATTGGTGCCTTCGACCCATAGAACAGTGAGGAGACTCACCTCGAATGCAGAAGTTCACTGAAAGAAATCCCTAGTTGTTGCCCTGACGATTCCTCTGGGCTATCAATACCACGATAACACCCAATTAGCAATTGGGTTCCAAATTATGATCCATAAACCATACTTGGGGTAAAATAACCATTTTACCCTAACCCAACTTGAACCAAAACTGAGTCCCAAGTCCAAAAACCATAAAGGCCCAAAACCAAAGTTCCACAAAGGCCCACTAATGGCCCAATTTTCCAAATTGGGCCCAACCCATATGGGCCTTATCCTAAAGCCCAAAAATTCCCTTATTCCAACAGTTGATCTCAGATAGCCCAAAAGGCCCAAAACAACAAAGCCCAAATAGGTAGCCTAAAACCGAAATGACACCACAAGGCCCAATAAGGCCTAAATCAGCAAGACCCATATCCAAAGTTAAGTCCAAGCCCAACAACCAAAAACTCCACTGATCAGACGAACGCACGATGTCCAAGGGCTGAACGCACGACGTTCGTCGCCAGACAAATTGATGGGGACTCAAGATGGAACGCGCTGCGTTCCTAAGGGCTACGCACGACGATCAAGGCTAAGTTCCAAATTCTCATTCTAAGGACTTAATCCATTAAGTCCAACGTCTATAACCCTAGAATAATCCCATAACAGTGACTTAACCCATAAAGTTGAAGGATTTAAGCTTTTGCATGGCTTAAAGAAGCCCAACACCAAAGATGAACCCCAAAGGTCAAAATCACCCCAAAATGTCTTAAAAATTTCTTAATACCTTAAGACCTCAATCCAAACTTCCAGATTTGATTTCAATGGACTTCTCAAGTCATAAAGTTTCCTACTTTATGACTTAACATAACTCAATGGGACCCAAATCAAAACCCTAAGTCCCAAACTTCACCAAATGACTACCAAATCATGCATGGAAGGTTTATACCCATCAAGATCCAAACTTTATGACTCTATAACCTCAACAAGTACCAAATATGAAGCTCAAAGGTTCTGGAATAACTTCTACTCATAAGAACCATCTCAAAGGGACCAAACCCATAACAAAATACCACTTAGCTAGATCTACATGAAAGAGTTGTCAAGGTTGAGACTTTATAGCTCTAGAAGATAGATCTAGGTGTACAAAGCCTAGATCCAAAAGCTCCAAGTCAAGCAATGACTCTTCAAGAAGTTCCTTCTTCTTCCTCAAGCACCAAAAACACACATAAATCACTTTGAAGCTCAAGAATCACTCAAATGGAGGCTAGGTTTTCGTTCTTTGGGTTAGGGAGGATGGAGGCTGAAGGAAATGAGGGCTGGAGGTGAGTTAAGGTCTTTAAATAGGGTCCGAGACCCTAATTTAGGGTTTTAATCTGGCCTGACGAACGCAACGCGTTCCCTTGGGGAACGCAGGGCGTTCCCAAATGCACCCGCGTCCAAATTCCCGTGTACGCCATGCGTACCTCCCTTGTACGCCATGCGTACCCGTTTTGGCCCAACGCCCCTCTAACTTCAAATGGTCATAACTTTTACATCCCTTATCTGTTTTCGATGTTCTTTATATCCATGAAAAGGTAACGAGAAGCCCCACACTTAGATAAACTTTATTTAGTCTGAAACCAACCAAAATTAAATCCAAAATTCATAAAAGACCGAATTATCAAATTACGATTATACCCTTGACCTCCGAAGACACAATCGAACACTTGGATCACTTAAACCATAACACCCACACCCGAGAAGGGCCAAATTCTTCCTTCCCCAAGGCCCTAAGCATCATGACCACTGAAGATTGGGCTGCATCCCCGAATAAAGAAGCAAATCCAAAACCGAGTGTTACAAGTTTAATAAGTAAAAAAGAAACAACCCTTAACTCATTAGTTAAGGTGTGTACTTGTCCAAAATTTAGGAAAATATGACCGCAAACTCATTCCACGGTTTCATGTAGATACCACATGTCTCCAAAATGTTGGTATTTGTTACCACGCCTTAAAGTCGGTTTTGGATGTGATGTTATTACCTTGTTTATATTATTGAAAAATCAGGACCCTAACAGAAAGGGACTTGTTTTGGAATGTAAAGAACTTGGACTGAAAATCTAGAAGCATATGTATTGCATTTTTGTTGATTTTGAAATGATTACTTCACTGCTTCTTATTCCTATATAATTTATAATTACGATGGTTTTGAAAATGTTTTTGAGATTGAAAGTTTGAAATTGAAATTGGATTATTTCCATCATCCAATTTCATTCTAACTAATTTCATATTACTCATTAGGCTACCAAGTCTAATGATTAATGAAGATTATTAAAAAGTTATATGCAGAGACCTTGTGACTTTTTAATTATATGCAAATAATTTATATTTTAATTATTACTTTTGATTTATTTGTTGCGGATGATTTGATTAATTTTAAAACAATATGAATTTGACGGTTTATGACCTAATTCCACAACTTTCTTATAAAAAATATTGATTTTCTAAAACAAATGAAACATTCAATAAATGTAACAAATATATTCCGAATTAGAAATTAAATTACTTCCTACTTTTTATGCCTATAATTATTCATACCCAATAAAATTATGACAAATCACCATTCGATTTAATTTTATTTGATATATTTCCAATATAGCCTTAATGAGTGTTAAAAAAATATGGAATGATGACATTTGTCATAATTTTGGTAGTTAGAACATTTATAGGCATAAAAAATAGGAAAAAATTTAATTACTCATTTCGAATTTTCCACCGAGTATAGTTAATTCGCTATTGTGGAATACCTGATTTTTGGACTAGCATTGTATAAAAATCAAAACCCAAAATAATCAATAAATTTATTAATAACGTGTTCCGAAATTTTTGGTGGAACTAAACCAACATTTTTTTGTGCTCTGATACGCATTGTCGTTACATTCGCCGTATTAATTGCTTTTAAGAGTAGGGAACAACTTGTCCATTCCCGTGTTACGCCCAAATCGTTGTCAGTAACCCTCAATCGCTTTTGATCAAGACCGATTTAGCCCTACATTCCCAAGATTTATCAACTACGGAACTAGGGTTCTTGATATCCGAGGTAATTTTCTTCTTTCCAGTGTACGATTTCATTTTCATTTTATATTCTCGTGATTTACTCGAAGAATGGATTCATTTCGACTCCAATCATAATAGTTCCTTTAATTTCGGATTTTCATGACGATTTGGCACGAAAAGTTGGATAAAATTTTCAATTCTGTCGATTTATTATGGTTCAACGCTCTCTGGATTTACCGTAGGTACTCATAGAGTGATTTGTTTATTAGGTTTTGCTACAACTTATGAATTCTTATGATCGCCGTGTATGAATTTTCTTCACAAATTCCTGTTGACGGATCTACTTCTTCCTTTCGCTGGAAGGATAACCATAGAAATTAATGGTAGCCTTGTGTTTCTACTTATTAGTTCTTGCCATAGTCGCAGCTTAACATTTCTCAAGAATGAATTGCTGTTTCAGATGGATCATTCGGTTCAAATGATCCTAACTTCGTGTGATGCATGTGGTATACAGGATCTTCATCGGGACTTTAAGCGAGCGAGTTCTAAGTTCATAGTAGTTTGAGCGGATCGAGTTTGAGCATCACATAGATTTCAAGTTCAAAATGGCGACACCCTCCTTATTTCTCAACTTCAAATATCTCCAACTTCTGATCTTCTTGTTCGCATCAAGGGCATTTGCCATTAGAAAAGATACCAGTTTCCTAGAAACCCAAATCTGCAGAACAACAGTTCAAGGAAGATATTTAATAACCGATCATACAGGTTACGTATGTGATGCCCTATCACTAGATCCAAAATCACACTGCTGTCGTCTAAAAAGAGATCAATACAGTTGCCAAGGCTGCAATCTTGTTTCACAATGCTGCAACTCCTATGAATACTGTGTTTCTTGCTGCCTAAATCCTCAACGAACACAAATTGATCAAGCAACAAGGGTCAAAATCGCCAAACCAGTAACTTCAGGGACTTATTCAACTCTTTTCGATTACTGTGCCGGAAGGTGTCGTCATAATTCCGAGAGTGTCGTTCATGAAAACGCGTATCTGAGTGAATTCCATCATTGTTTTGCCCCACCATCAAACAATTCGGTCGGAATCACTGATTCCCAGATTGAAGTCAGGCTGCTTGGGATTAATGTTATTGTTGGTAAACAAGGGGAATCGTGTGATTCCGTTTGCAAAGCAGTTGGGCAATCGTGTGTTGGGAGCAAATTCGCACTTATCAATCAATGTGAAATTATGCAAAAGTATATGAAATGTAGAGGATCATGTCTTGCAAGTATAGGAGCTGATCAACCTGCTGAAGTGGTTGAAGATGCCCCTAGAGATTTGAATCCTGGTGCGTGTTTATACACACGGAGACCTTCATTGCTTTCTTGTGATGGATCTCATCAGTATACAAGGAGACTTTGCCCCTGTGCTTAAGGTAAGGTAATTAAACATCAGAATCGTTGTTTTTATTGTGTTATTAATTCTTCATTTATCACAACTTTTTATTTTCTACTTTGATTCAGATTCATTTCCTACATGATGATTGATGATTGATGATTGACCCAATTCAAGTGTGAATCACAAAGTGAGGCTGCTTGCATTATGAGAAGAACTGAAGAAGAAAGATGATTGTGTTGTATGATGAATGTAATGCTACCAAAAAGATCAGGTTAGTTAAAAGTTGTGTACTTGTCATCAATCTAAATCCATTACTAACTTGATGATGATCGAATGGGAAGGTGTAGTAAAGTTTTGTGTTAGCCAGAAAACATTTTTTTTATTAATGAAAATTCTTTACTCATGATAAAGTATTTGGTGCATGTTTGTATCATTTAGTAATCATTGGAAAAATTTAATGCAATCAATATAGAATAGAACATGCTATTTTGTTATTAATGGAAAGAGATTTAAATATTTGACTTGGTAGTCAAATGATTTTTTGATTTGTATGACATGTGAATTCTCAAGTTAGCCTAGCAATTTAAATCTAGATGCTCGTGTGTTAGTGTCATTGACTTATTGTCATTGTCATTGTATTAGATATGATAAAATCAAACCACAGGGACGGGATTTGTGAAAATTTCTTTATAGGGATGAAACTTACTGATTGGACCAAACTATATGGACGATTTATGTAACTACTCTTATTTATATTTGATGTCATGCAAAAAGAAGGGACACGAAGACAAATATACAAATACAATGGTCTGGTTGGGCCGTTATATCCTGCATTAATGTGTTGGGTTGGCTGGTCCGTCTTCTGGTTAACTTGGCCATCAGATTTTTTATTGTTTTTCTGTTAAAAATTGCAAAAGTTCAGTTGTGTTTTATACGATATAAGAGCCAACAAAGCGAGGAATTGGTGAAAACAATTCAATATGGAATCAAGCGATCAAATTAAGAAATTGACAAACAACTCAAAATGGAACTGTGTCAACATAGATTGGGTTGTATTCATCTCAACGTTTTATGTCAGGTTTTTATTTTTTTAAAGAGAAATTACAAAAATGATCGATGTTGCTTGTAAATTGCTTTTGGGTACCATCTTTGGTCATTTTGGTTTAGTTTGGTCGTGGACTTCTTTGTGTCAAATTTGAAAAGAAAAAAACTATTTTACGTTTAATATATTTTTTTAGTAAATCATACGAATCGAATCTCGTGTAGATGTCAAAAAGTAAGTTCAATCTCTATTTTAAAAAATTAATTTGGACCGACATTTATATTTTAAAAAAAATGCAAACTTTCGTCTCTATAATCATGAAATGGCTATATTGATATTTTTCATTTAACTTTTAGGTTTATTTTTGGTTTTTATTTTTTTTATTCTTTTATTGAAATAAAATTAATATGTCTATACTCTAATAATCTTTTCTCTCCTTTATTTCTCTTTCAACAACTTCTCGGCAGCCCTGGATATCTCACCGCCACAGGAAACAACCACCTGGACATCTCACCGCCATCGCCACTGGAAACAACCACTGCTTCTCTCTCTCTCTCATACATGACCCTCCCAAACAAACGAAATTCAAATAAAAACCTTCACACACAACAATCAACAGACATCTAACATGTATCTAGGGGGCGTTTGGCTTGTCTTTTTGAGAGACAAAAGTCCTTTTTGGAAAAGTTACAAAAAGTCAGTATTTAAACACATAAATCAGATATCATAATTTCGGGCACGCAAGTAAGCTTTGAAATCCATCCCATGTTTTTGTTGTTGTTGCAAATATTTAAACACATAAATCAGATATCATAATTTCGGGCACCTAGGGTTCGATTTCATAGGGTTGATTGTTGAAGGAGCGTGACCTATAAATAAGTTGAACAATGTTTTGTGGCCTGGCCCACTCATGAAAATTTCCAACAGAAACACTACAACTAATCAATTTCAATCGAGATTAACCCTAATCCGAAGGCGGATCATTCTGTAGAAACTCGTCGACGGTGGAAGGAAACTCAACTCCGTCACCACCACCACCCACCGAAACAACTGCAGCCTTAGCCAAAAGCAAATGTGCCACTCTCAGAGGCTCTCTTCCGCCATTATTCAACAAGTATTTGATCCACCCATCCAACCTCTCGACTTCCTTTTTGCTTCTAGGCCCTTTCACCTTCACAATCCTGTCGTAAAATTCATCATCGCTAAAATCAGGTATTTCCGGTCCTTTTCCGTCAAAATCAGATAACTTAAGAACCCGAATCATCGCATCAACGTCGTCAACCGAACTGTTTTCGGGTAAATTATCCTCCGATTCCTTCAATTGATTAGGGGTCTTACCGGTATTTGATGGGAACTCGTCTATATCGTCATGAGAGAGGAATTCTGCAGGGGCTTGTTCGATGGAGTTGTCTTGGAAGGTTGACGAGGCGTTAGTAGGTTGGTTGTATAAGTAAATCGGGGCGCTGCTGAAAGATTCCGATGGTTGTGTTTCAGAGGTTTGTGGCTGTGGCTGTGGTAGCGGCGGCGGAGGCAGAGGCGGTGTCGGTGGATTTCCGTCGTCGAGCTTTAAACGCTTCTCTACTTGTTTCAGAGACGAGAAGAAGAGTTTGTGAGGAGGTTTCATGTTTGTCGTTCTAAATTTATAATTTTAAATTAAAAACCACATCTGTATATATAGTTTGATTCAAGAATAATCTGATTTTTTTTATATATCTTTTAACTTTCAGTTTCAATCTGATGCTAGTAGAAAAAGTTTTGTTTACACAATTAGACTTTATTTTAGTTTTGTCGTATTGAAGTAAAACTTTATTTAGATATTATATTTATTGAAGTAAAGTTTTGTTGATATTATATTTACACAATTAAACTTTATTTTAGTATTGTCGTATTGAAGTAAAACTTTGTTTGTCGTTCTAACATGTTTTTACGTGAGAAAGTCTTCCGAATGCTTGATTCATTTCAAGATCTGAAAGAGTTCTTGATTAATCAAGAAGCTAAAGACCTCTCATGGTTCTTTACATGTTTGACTCCTAGATGACAAAAGTCAAAAGTCAAACAACAGATTCATCTTCTTCACTCTACATGAACAACAATTGCACCTATTTATTTCAAACTAAACAACTCTCTACACTCTCAAAGCTCTCTTCTCTAACTCACTTCCCGTGTTCATCGACAACCCCAATGAATCTGCAATGCTTCTCACTTCCGCAATCATCGCAACCACATCATTCAACTTGTTGATCGCTGACCCAACACCCTGTTTTCAAAACAACATAAATAATACGAACAAAAACTTGTTACACATTAAAAAGATTAAGGGTTTACAAAATTTTCTAAAAAGACAATGAAAACATGCACTCACCACTCCTGCAGCACCTGCAGTGATGGCCATTGGTGCTGTGACCGCACTTAATCCAGATGCACACATCACCGGGATCTTCACAGCACGTGAAATTGTATACGCTGCTGCTAGCGTTGGATTCGCCTAAGTTTTCATAATCAACGATAACAAATATGCATTAGACAGGGCAGGACAGGACAGAACAGAACAGCACAGGTGTGTAGAATCTAGTTTACCTTTTCAATCAAACCAAGAACACCGGGCTTTGAAGGATTGGAGCATTTTCCTCCTTCAGTTTGAATAATGTCAACACCTTCTTGTTGCAATTGCTCCGCAAGCTTCGCCTATAAAATTAAATTTACATGATGACTGAAATCTATATTGTTCATAGAAGAATGGATTTTGATCTTTATCCGGGATAATTACTTGATCAGGGAGGCTTAGTGTGTGAGGCACAGTGACAGATAATGTCACAAACGGAAGAATTTTTCGCGTCTCAACAGTTAAGTTCAATATCTACAGAAAAAGATTAACCAAGAGTTAATAAAGAAAGAACAACTTAAAATGAGTTAAGACCTTTTTTCTTTTTACAAATTTCCTCTCATGGAATTTTTAAACTTATCACTTTATCCTGATTAATGTAATTTCTATAAACCTGGTCGGGTGAAAAAACAATGCCAGCATCATAGAATGAATCATAGTTCCCAATCTCCACCTGCATTAACATTTTGAATGCCCATATGTTTCTTCAATTTTCATGAAATTCAAGATAACAGATTAAAATATCAAAAAGTTTAAGTAAAAACCATGGAAGCTCCAGCTTCTACAGCAGCAAGGAAAGCAGATGGATCTACTGACGACACACAAATCTGCATACGAGCATATGATTATGAACATACTTCAAGAAACCAAGAAATGCAGAAGGAATTAATGAATTAATGATTACTATTAACATACAGGGAGAGAAGTCAAGCTGGTGACGAGTTTGACCAACTCCGGATCACAAGCTATATCCACATGAGTAGCTCCACCCTGTTAAAGATCAGTAATATCACAGCCTATTGCATATATGAACCAATATACGAGCTTTAACGTACAAAAACTGAAGAACTATGGTTAGAACAACAATAATCAAGTTTTAGATTGAAAAAGAGGGTAAAAGAAGTTACCTTATCTGCAGCGATAACAACAGAAGCAACGTTGTCTTTGTTGAAATTCTGCAAGCCTGAAATGATCTGAATACCAACCAAAACGTTTAATTACAAAATCAAGTGAAAGTTAAATTGTTGAAATCAAAGCAACCAACAGAAAATAAAGAAATTATCGGTGGTTAATTAGTAGAAGAAGGTTGGGGTGTAAAGAGAAGAGGAAACCTTGAGTGCTCTTCTTTCATGGAAGGATTTGAGAACTGCTTCTTTAGGGACTGAAAGAGAAGCTCTGGGAGTGAAAGAAAGGGTTGATGGGCGTTTTGGAAGAGGGGGATGAAGAGTATTGGAATTGGGTTTCAAGCGGGTGTAAGAAAGGAGAGAATTGGGTGTGCAGATTGAAGAACTCATCTCTTTCGCTTGCTCTCTTTTACTCTGTTGAAGTTGGGAGGCAGAGGATAGGAGAAAGTTGCAGGTTTATCCTAACCCAAGAAGACACTACTTGCCAAATAGTTTATGATAAATATTTTCCTTTTGTGTTAAAAAGAGGGTAAATTGTAGGGGTGAACAAAATTTTATAGGAAACCGAAAAACTTTAACTCAAAACTAAAATAGAAACCCCCGGTTTGGATTTGAGTTTTTCAAAAACCAAAATATTAGATTGACAAAACTATAAAATTGGTCATCGTGAGTTCAAAAAACTTTGGATATAGTCCAAAAAGTTTTCAACTTGTATGGATGGTCCAAAATCAAGAATTTCCTTTGGTTTTGGTCCTTGGAGAAAACTTTAGATAGGGTCCAAAAAGTTTCGAACTTGTATTGATGATCCAAAATCAAGAATTTCCTTTGGTTTTGGTTTCTGAAGAACTTGAAAAGACTATTTTGCCATTTTTATTTCTTTTTTTTTGTATTTTTTTATATTTCTTTTAATAATTTATTAATTAAAAAATAAAAACGAAAGAATTGGGCCTCTCCTCTCCCTCTCCCTCTCCCTCTCCCTCTCCCTCTCCCTCTCTCTCTCTCTCTCTCTCTCTGGTTGACCTCAAGAACCATAGACATCTTTATAAGTCTCCATCCCTATGATGTATTCTAATCAACAACACATATTTTCATTTGTATAATTATCAAGCGACAAAAATACCATATACTCCACCTCTCTTTCGTCTAATCTGAAACTTGCAACGCAAATCGCCATCACCATTGGAGAGTGCTGTCGAAAACCTGCAACTAGATCGGAAAACCCACAATTCCTCAGATCTGAGAAATTCTCTGATCTAAAACCCTCAAACCACAAAAAAAACATGAAGAAACTGTACGTCAAGCATATAATAGGGAAAATCAACGACATCATGGCGACATCAATTCAGCCTCCATCGGTTCGAGAGTAAGGGGAGAAGTGGATATGAGATATGGGAGGTGGGTGTTGGCTTCTATTTCGGTTTCAGATAGTGGCAAAGTAAAGAGGTAAAAACGATTCTTCCATTTTTTTTTTGCTCTGATTCATCGGTATCTTGGTGACATCGATTCAGAAGGACCAGATAATGACGATCGTTGTTCTTCTTATTTTACAGGGCCTCGACTTGATTTTTGGGTTTATTATCAGGTTTCATTTTTGGGATTTTCATTATGTTGCAAGAACCCTAAGTAATTGATTTCAATAAGCTGAAAAAAAGAAGTTGAAGATGAAATTAGAGATTGCTTAATGTCTGTATTTCTTGTGTATAAAAGATCGACTGTTTGTTTAATGTCTTTGTTTTCTTGGCTAAATTGCCATGGATCGAAAGTGGGAAGATTTATGGTGTTGCAGATTTTGGTGTTTGTGTTTATAGTTTATACGAGAGAGAGAGAGAGAGAGAGAGAGAGAGAGAGAGAGGGAGAGGGTGGGGTGGACCCGACATATTTTTTTTATTTTTCTTTTGTTTGTTTTTTAATTAATAAGGTATTAAAAAAATATAAAATAACAAAAAAGAAATGAGAAGGGCAAAATAGTCATTTCAATATTTTTTGGACTAAAACCACAAGAAATTCTTGATTTTGGACATTCCATGCAAGTTAAAAACTTTTTGGACCCTATCCAATGTTTTTTGAATACCATAGGGACTAATTTCATAGTTTTGTCTATTAGATTCGGTTTCGGTTGTAGAAATGAGAAAAAAAAGAAAGAACCAGACCGAATATTAAAAAACATATGTATTTCGTAATTCATATATGTATATATATACGTGTTTCATGAGTTATAAAAACAAATAGAAGCTTCATCTGATGGTTAAGGCACCACCCTCCTCATGCTTTGTTAGTCAGCGACTTAAAAGCATCCCACATCGTTCATAGATTGAAACTTGGCTAAATCTTCTCTCCTATGACCTATATAAGCAATCGCCATCCTCATGCTTTATTAAGCTTTAACTTTGAGTCTCATATTGGTTGAGGAATCGAAACTTCAACCATATTTAGCTTTATTATATAAGTGATGACTTGAGGTGGTTTAACAAAAGGCTTAAGGTTTGGTTTAATAAAACCGAAACTGAACCCGGAAACCCAAGCGAAAAACCGAAAACCTATAAACCGAATGTTGGGTTGGGTTCAAATTTTTAGAAATCAATGCTCTTTGATCTGGGTTTGATTTCTGGTCAAAGCCAATGCAAAGTGACCCATGCTCACTCCTAGCAAATCATAAGAAATATATTTTTTTAGACTTATGGGTATACACACCTTGTCATGGTATTGTACTGATGTGGAAGCTTTTGTACAACATGCACACCATCTTTGGGTAGCGTGGAAGTGGGATGTGGCCTCACAACACACGAAGCCTTCTTACGCCTCTTTAATGTACAAACTTTCATACAGAGTATAATTATCGGTTTGGTGATGTAAAGTGGTGAATACTTATTAGGTAAATGGTGAAGATGTGGTACTGATGTGACATTGAGGTGGTAGTATTTTTTTGTTTGGTGGTGTGATATTTATACCTTACGACCTTATATTCATCTATATATTTATTATAACTAGTGGTGATGATAAGTGTTTTACGACGAGTTTATTGATCATATATTTATGATTGAATAAAATAATATCAATTGTTGGTATGTAATATTACATGTGTAGTTTAGGAAAGATGACATATTTACTAAAACAAATAATAAGTAATTATAGAAACCACAATGACCCAAACTGTAACTTAGTCTTCTTGTCAAATATATCAAAATTTGGACTTAAAGTGAAAAATATTTCAAACTATATGGACCAATAGTGTAACATCCCAATGATGAGGTACTTCTAATTTTGAACCTATAATTGAATTATATTGCATTTTGATCCCTAAGTAAAAGAAAGAGTGCAAAAGAGGCCCATAGTGGTGTCACATCCCAAAATTCAAGACCAAAAATTTAATTTTTTATTTAAGTTATTATAAAACCAACATTATAAGAAAACAGCCATAATAACATCCCATGTCAAAACCAAAGTGTCAATAATCAAAACATGTTATCATAAAATAATATCAGAGTGTAATCCCAAAGATCTCATGTGCGGAAAACATAGTGTAATGCGTTGCGATCGAGCCGGCTCCTTTCCTTTGAAAACGAAGTATCTGAAACCAAAACTGTAAACCGTAAGCTCGGAGCTTAGTGATTTCCCCCATCATACCACATACCATACTATAAACATACTGCCAGACATACATGGGTGCCCGACCTACCCTATTGAGCATATCAGGGTGCTCAACCTACCCCTGCTAGGCATACTGGGGTGCCTAACCTATCCCTATCAGACATATCGGGGGTGTTCGACCTACCCCTCCGTTTATCTCAACCGGTTACGAGGACTATTTCACCCCTACCACTACCACATAATACATAGCATAACATACTGTCAGGCATACCAGGGTGCCCGACCTACCCCTTTGGTCTTTTCGACCTGATATGGGGACTATTCCCCTACTACCACTATCACATGACATCACACCATACTAGCCCATAAAACATAACAGATAGTGGCATATGTAACATCCCGAGATTTTGCAGGTATTTCCGAATCCTCTCTTCTATTATTATTTTGTCATTTGTAGTCCCTGGGGTTTGAGGAGCCGACCCTTGAGAAATCTAAGGGCTAAAGTTGAAACTTTGGGATCAAGAGAGTACGCTAAGCGTACATAAGGGTACGCTGAGCGTACTAGGCGCGCCCTAGTACACTCGGCGTACGATGGGCGTACTCACGTCAGGTGGAAACCCTAATATTTAGGGTTTGGGTGCTATATAAACAACCTTATGAGCTCATAACCCTCCCTTACCTCAGCCTCCACTGCTTAGAGCCGTTTTCCCCAAACCCTAATCATTTCCTTGAGTGTGTGAGCTTATAGAGTGTATTTTGAGTAGTAGAAGAAGAA